AATTTCTTTTTTATTTTTTCCTTCTTACTTTACATTAATTTATGATTAGGGTTTTGAGTTAAAATAATTAATTTTTAATGTAAAAATGTGATAAAATTATAATTAAAAAAAAATAGTGGTCTTTCTTTATAGTATATTTTACTATTTATATAAAATATTTCTTTTTACTCTTTACCGTATTAAATAATGTGTTTTGTTTTATAATTATATTATTAAAGAAATCAAATTTAGTATTATTCGGATTAATAATTTTATTAATATTAAAGAGTGTGTATCCATAGTTTTTTACAGTTAAAACTCGAGTTTGCAAAGGACTTGTCGAGGAATCAATAAACATCAGGACAAATTATAAGTCCAACCCCTTTTCTTCGAGTTTGTGATTACAATAAGATTTTTTTTCATCAATTAGGTAATTAGAAGTTATGGATCCAAAAATTTATTTTAATCTATAATATTTTAACATGTTATAAAACTTAGAGCCTTTGGGATATTGTTCTATGAGCACACCTATAGAATTTGTCTCTCATATAAATATAAATATAAATAAATATATATATATATATATATATATATAATATGAAATTGTTTGATTTGCTATAAATTTTGGTATTGGTTAGCCATATAGAAGTGTTTTACATTTTGTTTACAAAATAGATGTTACATGACAAATTAAATGAAAAATGACTAAAAAAAAACTTGATTTTAATATTTCCTATGGATCAGAAAAATTATCAGACAATTTTTGTGTTAAATATAAAATACGTAAAAGGCAAAAACATACACCACTGTTAATTTACGAGGAAAATTAGGGTAGGTCACCTTTATAGATGAGGATTGCCATATCCTCCAAAACAGCCGCTGACATTTAAAAATTTGACACCTCTTAATAATAATATTATAAAATAATTCTTTAATTAAATATTTTATAATTTAAAATAATTTTTTAACGATTCATAAATGGGTGTTATTTTAAAAGTTAATCACATATACACTGCCGATGTAAAGTTTTTTTACATTGGCAACCAATTATATCTTTTAATTGTATCATGTCACTATAAACACATTTACTTTTAACAGTGACATGACACAATTAAAAGATATAATTAGTTGTCAGTGTAAATTTTTTTTACACTGACAGTACAGTGTATAGGTGATTAATTCTCTATTTTAAAAGCAATAACATTTCTCTTACAGATAGTTTAAGATTTAAGACTTACAATTTTTGCACTGCTAGATTAAATAGGTACATGAGATTATATTCAATCTTTTCACATATTATCATCTCCCTAAAATCTTACCCTCGTCAAAGCTTCATAACTCCTTCCATAGTGTCTCTACCATTGAATGCATGTTTGTTTTATTCGATTATCGAATTTCAAAGCACGTTGATCATAACTTCTCTCACACAATGTTTTGGTGTTAAACGGAACGTGACAATAATACAAACACACCCTGAGTCTAGTGCCTTCATTTGAAACACAAGCGTGAGGAAGATGATGTGTTGAATAGTGCAAAGATTGAAGCCCCAAATCGCATTTTGTTAATTATCATCATACTCATTTACTTGAGTTTTCTCCATACCAAATCTGATTGTTTAAAATTTCTACAAACACACAATAATCAAAATATTTGATTCTATTGTTATTGTGCAACTATGAGAGAAGGAGTTGTGGAAGGTTGAGTGGAAAGGAGGGGGCGGGGCTGTGGAGGGAGAAGAACAATTGTTACTTAGCACTCACAATGAGATATAATGGCATTAAGGATGGAGGAGGGAGAGAAAATAAAATTAGAAAGAAAAATAGAAGAAAAATATTTGGTGTGGAAAGAACATTATTGAATCTGGTAGAACATTCAAATCTAATGGTACATATTAAAAATAAATATGATGCACTGTGAACCATATATCGTAATAGGTCATGTTAGATTTTGTTATAAGCTAAGAAAATCCTTTGAAACCCCTTTTAAATAGATTTTTGGTGCCTCTCATGTTATTCATCCATGAGTGTATGCTTATGGTCCTTAAAAAGTAGTGTTTTGTCAATGAGTACATTGGCGTTTTCATCGAGTTCTTACGATGGAGCCTCAACGCTAAGGGAGGATATCACGCTGGGTGGAATTTTAGACTGATGCTGCCACATATAGGCAGAGGAGGAACTTATCCTCATTGTCATTTTCAATGGCATATCACCAAGAGAGGTTGAGGCTTGAATCTCTCTACAAAATGGTTGAGGTTTGGATCTCTGAAGACCCTCATGTTATTCATCATCGACGAGGAGGAGGACGAGTTCTTCCTCTGTCTATCAATGACGATATCGATCTAGAACTCCACTCAACACAGAGTCCTCTGGCCAATGTCAAGGTTCGATCACAAGAGTGTAACAAATGTTAGTGGATTTTTCACTAATTGAGTGCTGATTTTTTAGGACCATAAGATAGGACAAGGAGGAAGAAGAAATCAGAGTGATCCAAGTAGTAGAAGATGGTTGGGATTTTTTTTAATCATTGTCCATATTCATAAATTCAAGTTCAACAAAATAAATCAGTCAATATTTTAAAATGAAAGATGACATGTACCATTAATACATGTGACATACACTCATTGGTGAATATCACGAGGGGTATCATAACCCCTTATTTAAAAGGGTTTATAAAGAAATTTTCCTTAATCTATTACAATTGATGTTAAATCATTGTCTTTTATCATTTACCATTATTGACACAACTGCACATTAACACTACCACCATCTACCATTGTTGCAAGCCACCATTTTTTTCTTTATTATTATTGTTATCACTATCATTATTATTGTTATCGTCACTACTATTATTATTATTGTTATCACTATTTTGATCTCCCACTTTATAAACCTTTGTCATAATAGTACCTATCACTATTATGATCATTATTATAAGGTACAAATTAGAAAGGAATAATGATATTTTTTACGAAACACTTTACAATTTTTATAAAATATTAATTTAAATTTTCATTTTTACCTTTCTCATAAAAATTTAATGATAAATAAAAATATAAAACTGATACCTTATAATTTTGTTTTATAAAATCAATAAAATCAACTAGTATAACTAATTAAAATTTTCTTATAATAAGGATAAAAAAAAATATCCGATCATTTTTTAGTCTTTTAATATATACAAACTTATTTTCACTATAGTTTCTAAGTTTTACAATATTCTATCATTTAGAATACGATAAGAAAAAAAAAATGACTACTAAAAATCCAAAATGACTGCCAAAATGAAAATGAGATATTTATTTGCTATATGTTTAACATACAGATCGATACTTACAAGGTGAGGAGCCAATTATTACTTTATAAACAAATTTTATATATACTAACTTTAATATAATTTTTATCAAGTTAAAAATCCTATCCTTCATCGCAGATAGACAGCTTATGATTAAATGTTATCATAAGTTACATTATAACTAGTATTTTAACATTTCTTATATATAATCATTTAATTATATAAGTTAAAACACTTTAATTTCTTATTTCATTAAATTAATATAAAATATAAGAATGACACCTATTTTAAATTAAATTTAAAGATAATAATAAAATAAAATTTGCTAGAACTTAAAATAAATTATAATTTGAAGATAATAAAGTACTCATAATTAGAATTAATATAAATTAGCATAATTTTTTAATTAGAATAATATTTATATTTTAAAATAAAATATAATGTAGTTTAAATTTAAAGATAAAAACATACACATCATAAATTTTAAAAAAATTATTCTGACTCATTATTTGTGTGTGAAAATCATTTAGAAAAGAGAAAATTTAAATTTTTTTTTTGACAGACTAAATTTAAATTAATAAAAATAAAATTAATTATGTACTAAAATGTATAACATTAAAATAAAAATAGAATAATCCCGTAAGATCTGATGAGCAAAAGAGTGAGATATTTTGAGGTAACAAGAATGCAGCTGGCTATGGTACATATAAAACCGGACTCCACTCCACTGTCACGTTCTCGTCTCTATTCCCAAACTATCGTTCACGTGTCAAGCATGAAAATCGCATTGCTTGCTTCCATGCTTCCCCAGAAATAACAACAACGCCGCTTGGCTCAATCTCATTGCCACCACCGCTACACTTCGCTTCCTTCTCCTCATTCTCAGTATAAAATCTTTGCATGATTGCATATCCTTTGCTCTCACTCCATTCGCGATGCTCCACCAGCCTTCACTTTGCGGTTCAAGAATCGCCACTCACTCCACGCTCTTCGCTTCGCTTTCTTCCGCTGGAAACAACGCCGGACGTTGTTCATTTAACGGAAATTCGTCCGTCCGTCACGTGAGGTACTTCTCTCTCAAATTTGCATCCACTGCTTGTGACTCGCAATAATATTAGGTTACTAGAAATTGCAAGTGATTTCACGAATTGACATTTGATCTTGCTATATTAGGTTGAAGCTTATGAGGCAAGCATCGGGAAGCAAATCGAACAATGAACATGAAGTTTTTAGTGAGGTGCGTGATCGTAATGCACTCTCAAGTATTTCGAGTGGTTTCTCATAGCTATTGCAAATTTTGATTGAGAATTTTGGCATTGGTTAGACAGTGGATTGTACCAGGCATTGGACAACTAATGCTTATGGTGGTCGTGCTCAAGAAGAGGTTCTTGAGGTATTTATGTCGTTTATGTGCGTCATTCGCTTTAAGATGAAAACTCTGGTTCTTACAATTATAGAGAGCATGATTGTAGAACAACTGGAATAGGTAATGCAACTCAATATTGAGTTTGAATGTAATCTATGATCTGTCTACATGAAATAAAAAATAACAAGATTCGTGGATAAGAAACCTTTTTGAATTTTGATGTTAGTCTCATTGCTTCTAGGATGACCTTGAAAGTTCAAATTTCAATTGTGAAAGCAAATGAAAAGGGGGGCAATTAAATGTCGTTATAGTTCAACTTAAGAATCTTACAGGGTACTGTATTTTTCATAGGTTTAGTTGCTGGTCTAAATAGATCACTTGGTTGGATTTATTTATCTAATAAAAAAATGTTTTTCTGTCACGTGAAATCTTAATTTGCTAGCAAACATTAATGCATCTCGCTGTAGTGAAGGCTTGCTGGTCAAGTCTATTACATATTCTAGTTAACCTGAATAATGTGTCATTCCTTTGGATTCTTTAAAGATAAAGCTAGAAAAAAAGTACATGTAATTAAAGACAGAAAGACTGTTTAGTTCACTATGTATGATTGATGAAGTTTACTCAAAAAGTGTATGTAATAAATCAAACAAATAACTGTTTTTCCAACTTCAGACCTGAGAGGGAAAGGAATTTGGATATTTGTTAATTTTGTTGCTCTTGAGGCTATGCGGTTAATTTAAGATTTTTAAGTTATTTTCTTCCCTAGAACCAGTGAACTTTTTTTTATTTTGTAATTATTTCCAATTATGTCACTTTTCTGCCTATTGTTCTAGTGGGGCTGCAATTAGTGCAATTTAAAGTCATGTTCATAAAATGCAATGATGGTGCTTTTCAAAGAATCACTTGTTTATTATCTAACAATTGGAGTGCAAGTACTATAGCACATCAAGCTTTGGTATTATAGTAGTTTTTTGTTAATGTTAAACCCCCTTACTAAAAATGAGTAATTTAATGATGGGAATGGTAGCTCCAATCTTGTAAGATTAAGAACACTGGGCTGTTATTTTTTTTTTTTTTTGTTTCACTGTTAGCTTATTGAGAAAGACATCATTACCAAAATTTCAAAATATTATCCTGGCATCACTTAAGTGACTTAACTCATGTGGCACTTAATCTGTTTGAGGCTTATTTAATCTACCAGGATTAAACCACAGCCAGATACTTTGCTTGTAGTTTAGGGTTTATAAACTATTTGTCCTTTAAAAGGGGTCTTGATGGGTTAAGGAGGGAGAATGTTTATAAATTATTCTTAGTCTCAATTCCTAAACGATGTGAGACTTCTAGACATACAAGAACAAACCTCTCAGTCGAGGGTAAGAGGCAAGAGTGGCCTAGGCCCTCCTTCCAGTACCAATGTTCCAATGTAAGTTCGTTGTCATGGTTAAGGTCATCGTGTTCGAGGTATTGCTTACTTTGAAACTCATTGGGTCGTCACGATTTTATCTTTGAAAAGACGCCTCAGTGGGTTAAGGAGGAACAATATTTATAAACTACCCTAAATCTCGATTCCTAAACAATATGAGACTTTTAGGCATATCGGGACATACATTGGCACTAGAAGGAGGGTCTAGGCCACTCTTTCCCCTTAGCCTCGACTGGGAGGCTTGTTTCGGTATGCTAAAAGTCTCACATCATTTACGAATCGAGGCTATGGGTAGTTTATAAACACCCTTCCTCTTTAACCTGCTAAGACGTCTTTTAAAGGATAAAATTGTGACAGTCTAACACATAGGAGATGTTGTTTCTTTGGTGCTCGTTGAGCCGTCACAGTTTTATCCTTGAAAAGACGCCTCAGTGGGTTAAGAAGGAAGGATGTTTAGACTTTTAGGCATACCAGAACAATATCAAATACTTTTACCTATTTGTCTTGTAATGTCTTATTGTTTGCAATTCCAGGAAGAGTCCTCCAAAGTGATGGAGAGCAAATCATCATGGAAATTTTTTCCGGGGCAGGCATTTCCATTGGGTGTATCAGAAGTTGACAATGGCATCAATTTTGCTATATTTTCACAGCATGCAACTGCTGTCACACTTTGTTTAGTCCTTCCTGAGACTGAGAGGTAAATTTAGACATTCTTTTAGATTAGATTAGTTCAAACATTAAAATATTTTATTGAATTAAAAAATATATATTTGAAAGATGTATTTTCTTCAATTTGATTTTAGCCACATGCTAGCTTTCTTGTCACAAGTCTGTAGTTTCGAACATTGATATTTTTTAATGTTTTGTACATTTTCTCAACTGTGATACATGAAGTGAGAGCTTTATTAACAGGGATTCAATATTTGCATCGATTTTGAGGTGAATTTAGAAAGCTTCAAATATTTGGGCTCAAGATTTATGTGTTATGAACAGTCTTACATCGGTATATTGATTGGGTTTCTTTTGGCATGGCCTCTTGGTACTGGAGCAACTTAAATAAATACTAAAAAACTTGGGATATTATTCATGCTAGGGAAGTGTAACTACACTATCAGTTTATTGTAGCTTTGGTTATGGGTGTTAAGGTTATATATTTATAATAACCATTAATTGGCTTGCAGTTCAATCTCTCTTGTTCTCAGTCAAATTAAAGCTTTAGCCCCATGTTGTTTGTACAAAAACAATTTTTGAGGATTTTCTGTCATTTAAGGTCCTGAAAATTTTTAAATAGGATGCAGACTCTGCTTCTTTCTAATATTTCATACTACTGGTCATTTTTAAGACCAACAGATTTTTTGCATGCAATAATGCTTCAATTAATTGGAGTACTCTTCTGTGACATGACTATATGTTGGGTTTTTGTTTTTGGAGAAGGAGCAAAGTGATTTCGCAACATAAATGTACTTTGTTTTGATAAGATATGTTTTCTTGACTGCAATATTGTCTTAATTATCTGGCCATTAAATTTTATGCTTTGACTCTTTCTTTTTTTGAAGTTAATGTAAAAAAATTATTGGTTTCCATTTTGTTTTGCACACTTATTTTGTTATAATATTTTTAGGGGAAGTATTGACACATTGGATGGTGGCATGATAGAAATGGTTTTGGACCCTGATTTGAACAAAACTGGGGACATTTGGCACATATGTATTGAGGTATCTTCTATTAGATTGCGTAGACTTTGGTCTTCAGTTGAAGTTGTTATAGGTTCTGTAACAGCTTTAAAAATACAAAATCTGCACAATTGCCTGAGTAGATTTCCAATTTGTTTAAATAAATAACATTTTTCTGAGTATTTGTGTATGAAATTTGTATATTTCTGTGCAATATCTTCCATCTTGTGTCATAAATGTCGCATTGAACTGACAAGTATTAACTTTATTTTTCCTATACTTTTCAGGTTATTTGAGTACAAAGTTTGTATGTTTCTATGCAATATCTTACAGCTTGTTACTTTTGTGTCAGAAATGTCTCATTGAATGGACAAAAATTATTAACTTTCTTCTAAATATTATTATCAGCATGGTGGGAACTATATGGTTAAATAAATGTACATCTAGCTGTTCTTATTTTACCAAGTACAAATTGTAGATAATTCCCTTATTTCTTTGAAGGACTAGTACTGGAACTAATTGAGGTACAAACTCACTGGCTTACGTTTATATTTCTTCCATTTTATCCAATTTCAATTGTTCAGATTACAGAATTACTCTGTTCCTTTCAGTCTGTGTCAATTAATTTTAGATATATGTTAGCATCTGATAGTGAGAGAGTTAGTGGGGTTGGGATAATTATAAGAAATAAGGCATGTTTCCTATAAAATAAAAAGAGAGGTTGGGAGATATGTATCTTGTCATTTCGAAACGAGTGGACCTTTAGAGAGTGGGGAGAGGTCAGGGTCTCTTGAATACCTGAGTACTACTGTAATTTATGTCTAGCTCTATTACTAGAGAGTTGTACACTTGTACTAGAGAATAATACACATTTCTATCACTTCATCTATTCTCTTTATTTTCTTCTCTGTTGTGACCCAGTTCTATCAGAAATCTACTCCTAAAATAGCTTATCAAAACTTGGTCTTTCTTAGCAGCATTCAAGTATTTTCAACTTTCAATGTGCAGGATCTTCCTCGAAGCAATGTTCTGTATGGATATCGCATAGATGGGCCTCGAGACTGGGGTAAGGGGCATCGATTTGACAGCAGCATTGTGCTTGTTGATCCCTATGCAAAACTAGTTGAAGGCCGAAGATATTTTGGGGATATTAGCATGAAGTTGTCTAAGTTTCTTGGCACATATGATTTTGAGAGTTTGCCTTTCGACTGGGGAGAAAATTACAAGCTTCCAAATATTCCTGAGGTATTTTTCCTGCACAAATGGGTGTTATTGCTTGTAAGTGATATTTATTTCAATATTTTCACTAGATCAAGGCTTCAGGCAAGCTATTTATGCATATAATTATAACTATGTCTGTGGCTAGCATTCTGCCTTTGCTTTGTATGCTATTACACCTGATGTCTAGTCTTCTTTTGACCGAGAATATGTTTCTGGTTGAATGAAGTCTAATGTCTGCTTCCTTTTTCATTATTTTAATATTTTTGTTGCTGTAAATGCAGAAAGATCTTGTTATATATGAGATGAATGTCCGTGCATTTACAAATGATGTATCTAGTGGTTTGGATAGCAACATCCGTGGCAGCTATCTTGGTGTGATTGAAAAGGTAATATTTGTGTTATGATTTAGACAAATATGATGCATCACTGCTTATATGCATCGTGAGTATAAAGTTTTAAAAGTTACATTTCCCTGTCAAGTGTTTGTCCAAAATCTATCAAATTGCTGCAGGTTTGACCTAATGAAATTGTTGTGTTAAAATATTATGAAATGGATTGAACCAAATTTTCCTTTGGGTTCAACAGAAGTTCAACCATTAAAATATAGACAAATGAGAAGAAAAAAAATGTTACACAGACAAGGATGGGGATTTGAATATTGGGATGATGTTAATTTTGTAATGTAATGTTGAAGTTCTGTACCAGTTTCAAACCCTTGATGGAATAAAATATAGGCTTTATGCCGAAAGTAATAGGTGTCTCCTTCTCCCACCACCAGAAGGGAACTGATTTTCATGTGTCTCATTTAGAAGAGTCCAAAATCAGTAGGCAGGAAAGTTTCAGTCTCTTGAATATTATTTTGGGCTTTTAGAATATTTCCCTGATATATTGGGCTTTTAGAATATTTCCCTGATATCTCATAATAGATGACTCAACAAATCTTTATACACCACACATGCAAAATTTATGCATGTTAATAATGACTCTGATCGTAACAGAAGATGAGAAAAAGTCATTTTCTTCTTCTTGCACACAGAATTGTGAAGGGACTCATAGTCATAGCTAGCAAATTTCATTCTGTCAGGTATTTTTGTATTCAATTTGTTCTGTGGTAAAGTACATACAAAGTTCATAAATCCAGTAGTTCTTTGTTAGGCATCAGTTAGGAAGAATAAGGAAGTATTATTGAATTGGGATCCCTATCAAGGTGCTAGAAACCCTAGAATTTGGGGAAGAAGATACAACAAAGGAACTCCCCCAGATGATTGAATTGTAGAGCCCTCACTCTCTCCTGAACTAACCAAAATGATCAAATCTAACTACTCTCCTTTCTGCTACACTCCTGTTTTTGCCTCTACAACTACTTTTTTCACCAAAAGTCTTCCTCCCTAACTAACTGCTTCCCTTCTCAACCTATTCTATATCAGAATTATTTACAACTGGGCCTATACACCCCTATTTTGCCTATTTCTTCGAGCATAGATCTACCCAAACCTGTGGCTCCTAACACTCTTAGATACCATATTAATGCCATATGTTCAAAAGAAGCTTTTTATGTTCTTGTTAGTTAGTTGGAAAAGATATTCTTGCAGTAATCTTGTCAGATACAACTACTAGAAGATAGAAAGTGTTAATACAGAGTCTTTTCCCACAAAATTATGCTATCATCAAGAGGGAGTATATGTATACAATGCTTTAGTGGCTACACACCATCTTCAATTTTACGAAATATAGCTGCTTATTTATTATTATATGCTTCATACTTATTATTTATTGCCTTTCTTTATATAAAATTAATTTGTTGTTTGCCTATTAGATTCCACACCTTCTAGAGCTTGGTATCAATGCAGTAGAATTGCTGCCTGTCTTCGAGTTTGATGAGTTGGAATTCCAGAGGCGTCCAAATCCCAGAGATCACATGGTAAACTAAAAAAGTATTATGCCTTGATTTTATCAAGGTTTCACATGAAAGCTTTTCCTTATGTACTGTGTATTCCCAATAAATAAATAAAAGTAAAGGGCTTCTGTCCTGCTGTTTACACATGAATTCTGAAGAAAGTTAGTGCATGATATTTGAATACATATAGGAAGCACAACAATGTTTTTATTTTCAGAATTAATGTGCAAATCTGAAAATACAAGTATGGTTGTGATATTTATTTTCCTTTGATGATTGAAGAGATTGGTGTATGTAAATTACCGTTGCGTGACACTAATGGCTTTGTTTTGCTTTCCAAGATTAATACATGGGGTTATTCAACAATAAATTTCTTTTCCCCTATGAGTCGCTATGCTAGTGCTGGTGGAGGATCAGTTAACGCTTCCCGAGAGTTCAAGCAAATGGTTAAAGCCTTACATTCTGCTGGTATAGAGGTGTGGAAGTATGCTTTACACTCTGATTGCCTGGTTCTGTCTTATTTAATATTATCTAATGTCTTATTTGATTCATTCAATAAATATTATTCATATACAGGTTATTTTGGATGTTGTCTACAATCATACTAATGAGGCTGATGACGCCAATCCTTACACTACTTCATTTCGTGGCATAGATAATAAGGTAATTTCAATTTTGCAATTATTTTTTTGACAGACTGTTACTTGTATGTTAAAATACTTGCAGTACACCTTTAACTCTTACATTCTATTTTAATTTTCTTATAGATTAGTTAGTCTTATATATACAGTTTACTGTACCTTGGGTGTGGAAAAGACGTCAGAGATATTATTTTTTCAGTTAATGATAACTGATAAGACTACCAAATACCAATGTCATAACATAAGCTACGTATATCGGTTAAATACAAAGTGAGGTAAAAAAAGACCAGTAATCTAGAAGGAGATGATTATATATACTGATGAATATCTTAAAAGTGATAGATAATTCAGTCTCCTCAAAAAATTTAGAAGTATAATGCCAACTTTCTCATTTTATAATTCTACAACAATTAAAAACAATTTGGGGTGAGTTTCTTCTCAAGATGTTCACCTGTTACCGGAAACACTGTATTTAGCTTTGGGCTCATCTATTCACTAGCATTTTTTTTCTGTGATATTAGTTATATAGAATGTTGAAAAATGATTTGGTTTTCTTTATGAAAAATTTCCTTATTTCTTCAGGTTTATTACATGCTGGACAATAAAGGGCAATTGCTGAACTTCTCTGGCTGTGGTAATTTTGTATTTTTGTCATATCATTAAGATTCTATACTTGCAGCTTTATTCATGTAAATCTACATTTGCATATACCTATTCTTAAGTTATACTATAGAATATATTTTGTTAATTTTATTGGTTTTTTATATTAATTTGATATTGTATGTGCCTGTATTGGCACTTGCTCTCCCTTTCTGAATAGATAATCAGCCAACCATGAATTTCAAAAACTGTTCTACAAACAGAATAGGCAGCGTTCATATGGTATTGTTTAAAACAAGGTACATTGATATATCAAAACAAGGATGCAACAGAAATATTTGCTAGTAGGATCAACAATAGTACATGAATAGCCATACGGCTGTAATAGATAGCATCTGATGTTGTCCGTGGGCTGTCAGTCAGACTGGGCCCCAGTCTAAGGCACCTAAATCCAAGTTTTCTTTGGGCCGTTGCTAAGGGTCAGCCTTGGTACTAAGTCTGTGAATAGTCCATAAATCCTTACAAATTGCACTTTTTTGTTTAAGGGAAAGTTTGAAGAGATTTGGTGCAAATTACAAATGAAACTTCTTTTGAAGAAAAAAACAAAGAGCAAAAGAACTAATGCATTTCAAAATTAATACTATTTTTGTAAACAAGGGTATTTTCATCCTAAATATTAATAATCACATTTTTATCATGCCTACTCTTACAGAAGAAATAATACAGTTTTAGAGAAAACTGGCATGAGAGACAAAGGCTAAGGAAAAAAAAAATGAAGAGAAGAGAGATCATAAATATCTACATAGTTTTGTAAATATATTGATGGGTTGGGCTTTTGGGTTAGCCTATGTCAAGCCTAGGCTTGCCTTTAAAATGGTCTAGGCCAAAAGCTAGGCTTGAGCCTAGGCATGTCTGGCTAAGCCCACTAAGCATCTAGATTTTCAAACTCCAGAATTTGCACAATTGTAATGGCAAGAAATCAACATGAAAGGAACCACAATTTTAACAAAGTTGGATAAATTTTTGTAAATGTTCAAAGTATTAGATGTATCTTCACTTCCACCAGCACACAAACATGCTGAAAGTCAGAGACCTGAAGCTATGTAGTAATGCATTTCCTTATTAACTTTCAATCGAACCTTACTTGTGCAACATCAGGGTATTCTTAAATTCTATGAATAACTTAGATTTTTTTGTTTTTCACAACATACAGTAACAGCTCCATCATGTGGAGCTGCGCTTTTTTCTCTTTTGAGAACATTTAATATGCAAAACTTTCTGTTTGTGACTATTTTGAAAATTAAGAGATAATATTTTATTTCAATTATCACTAACAAATTTCAGTATGTTGATCTAAATATTAAAGTCTGTTCACTTGGAGTGGATGTTTATCCTCAGGAAATACATTGAATTGTAATCATCCTGTGGTCATGGAGCTAATTATTGACAGCCTAAGACACTGGTATATGGACTACTTATATAAATGTCATTTTTATGATTCTGATTTGTATATGTCTTGATATGTCTCAATTTGTTTCATGAAAATTCGAATTCATTGAATGCCAGCTTCTCCATGTTTGTTTGTATCTCATAGAATTGATACATCAAAATTTTAATTTTATGGTTTTGTAAACTGATACATGTTCATGAAGCTCTCCACATTGTTAAGATTTCTGTATATGTTTTCCCTCTTTTTCTGTGATTCTGTTATACTCTGTAACCAATTAACATTGGCTAGTTTGCTTGAGGGTCCGGTAATGTATGACAGTTGTTATTAACTTTTTGAAATGAAATGAATCATCTTTTAGCATTGGAAGTACCTACAGTTCCGAACTAAAGCAATCATTTTCTTTTAAGATCCTAATTATTGAAGCACTATTTTGTTTTTTAATAATATTTTTAACTTTATTGTAGGGTCACTGAATATCATGTGGATGGATTTCGATTTGACCTTGCGAGTGTCCTGTGTCGAGGAGTTGATGGCTCCCCCCTTAATGCCCCCCCGCTCATTAGGGTAAATATTTAATATACACAAGCTATATTTATTGAATTCAGCTCTCATTTTCTAGAACACTCGGTACGGTGCTTATCAGTTAGTTCAGCCATTTGGGATCAGAAATCATCCAAAAATACTGCCAGACATGAGTTGGACATTCTTGACTGACATGAGTCAAAACGGGCCGGTCCAGTCCATTTGGCCCAACCTACCTCAACCCACTTTTTAACTGGGTTAACCCGCCCTGACCCACTGACCCCAATGCCCAAAATTTTTTAACCTGGCCTACCCACCACGGGTTGGTGGGCTAAATGGGTCGGTCCACCAACCCACCCAATTTTTTTTTTAAATTAATTTAAAATAAACTCTAATATAGAATAATCTCTAATCTAAAGTAAAAATTGTTAAACTAAGTATCATGCATACAACATTAAACTTAAATTAAAAAGTGTACAACTTTAAATAATCAAAACAAAAAAATAAAAATCCTTTCATGAGTGGTTATTCATCAATATTAAACTTCATTGGAGGCTTGAATAGATAAATTTATAATAATTTCATGTTGTTTAACATTAACTTTATCTTTATCTACAAAAAAAAAATGGTATCTTGTTAAAATAATACATATATAATAATAAATGGGTTAAGTGGGTTGTTAGTGGGTTGGGTTGATGGGAGTGTAAGTGGGTTAGGTGGGCAGCCTGGCCCACCACGGGTTCAACCCGGGTGGGTTGGGTTGAAAGTGAGCCGGGTTACATTTTTTTGACCCATTATGAATTTTTTTTTAGCCCGCCCCGGCCCATTTTCAAGGTGGGCGGGGTTGGCCCATGGGCCGGAACCTATTTTGATAGCTCTACATCAATACAAGATATTCTAGACATTTTAGATTTTCACAACACATTTTCTGTTAGTGTCCATGGCTTTTAGCTCCAGACAGATGTATAAAAACCTCCTACAGCTTTCAGTAGTCTAAATAAATAATCCAAATTTTATCACAGGTTGTTAATAAAACTGAACCTGTATGTTGTGTTGAACTGAACAAACTGAAAGCACTCAATTTATTGGTTGGGTTTTAGACATATAGTTCTTACAGCTTTCAGTGGTTTAAAGAAATAAATTAGATTCCAAATTTTATTACAGGATGTTAATAACATTCCAAGCAATTCATCCAGGGAGAGTTTGAGCAACTTAATTTAGAATCTGCAAATTTGCTGCTTTTTACCTATTTGCAATCTGCTACTGAGATTGGGTTGGAGTGGTGGAGGCATGCATAGCATTTGTTAGACGGATAGATAAATAGTGGTGACATTGAGACAGATAAGGGGGTTAACAGAATCTGGGAGTAGGTTTTTGACATGAAAAACTAAAATATGAAGATGACTCATTTGATCAAACAGGAAGCAAATAAAACTATAGTCTACAATATATAAAGTTGTGAAATGAATTATTTGGCCAAATTGATGCTCAGATGGGCGTATTTGCCCCTTTGTGAAATAGACAAAGGAACTGATCTCAAATATATGTGAGCTGAAAGATTGAAACCAATTACAGGATTTGAAAACAAGCCTGTCCTGCAAACGAGATAAAGGAAGAAAATGCTGAATAAAAATTCATGCTTTTTGCATTCAGAAACTAAAATGGGCTAAAAGGGCACAATTCCATGGCATTTTATCTTTTTTTAACCCTCCAATCCTTGAAAAGGAAAGGAAAGATGACCTTCACATCAGATCTATCCTAATTAGAAATTGCAAGCTAAAAGGAGCTGAACAACTTCATAAAAATTTACAGGCAATCAAAACCTGAATTTGAGTTTATTTGGTTTTTGGTAATTTTGGTTTATTTGGTTTTTGATACGATTTGGTTTATTTGGTTTTATGTAACTTGAGTCATTTAAATGCACTTACAATTTATAATTGGAAGTCAATAATTGAGTAGTAATTTTATCCCGCTGCTAGAAAATTGAGAATGTAAAAATTTTGATGTTTTAGTCAACTAATATTTATTTACTTTTGTAGGCAATTGCTAAAGATGAAGTATTATCAAGATGTAAAATTATTGCAGAGCCTTGGGACTGTGGAGGTCTCTATCTTGTTGGGAGTTTTCCAAATTGGGATCGGTAATTTTTTGTTATTAATGTTTCTAATTTTAAGTAAATATTATTATTTTATGAATAATATTTTTTATAATCCTATACATCATGAAATTTGATGAGCTTTATGCCTGGTCATAAGCAAACAATTTCACCCATGTAGACTTCATGATCTTCGTGATTTTGTTAGTATATAGGTTACTTGTTTAATTCTTGATTTCTGTGGCTTGCTATCACGATTGTATCATTCCTTGTTTTTTGTGTTTGCAACTAGAAATGGGAATAGGCCAAATTTTAGACAGGGACTTATGGCTTGGCTTATTTAAAGTCTGATTTGACCTGACCTATTTAATAAAAAAGTGAGGTCTAGGCTTTCACAAAAGCCTATTTATTTAAAAAGGTTGGGCTTAAGCTTATAAAAAACCTGTTAAGCCTGGTAAGTCAGTTTATGTATTTATGATATAATAAAAAAATAATATACATATTACATTTTTAACTATAATTAAATAAATAAATTTGTAATACAAAAAATCAAATTATCAATATATTTTACATTTTCACTATACTTAAACGTTTTACCTTCCTTATTCATACGAAATCAAGAAATCGAAAATAAAAATTCTAGTAGCCACATCTTCACCTGCTATTTTCCTTTATCTTCATAGTTGATTATTTATAATACTTTAAATGGAATATAGGAAATGTTTTGAAAGTTTTTTTTTAATATTTTTATAAGATTATCTTCTTTCATTACATCTTGTGCGTGAGCATACATGTGTATGCATGAGTTGTCATTCAGTTAGTTTTTTTATTTTTATTTTAAACTCTAAATTTAAATAATAATGGAGTAAACTATTTTTTTATCATACAAATTAAAAATAGACCCGAACATGTAATTAAAAATATAATTGTTAGCTTATTTAAAATTAAGTTTATTAACCTATTTAACGTTGTTAATGCAAAATAGACTTTTAAATAGGCTAATAAGTCATGTTAGGCCATGTCTATAAAAAAAAGTCTATGATAGATAATATGTTAGGTTTAAGCTTTAATTTCATAGAACATGTTTGGCTTGTGTATTCAAAGTTTGGTTTGAACTATTCTCATCCCTATTTGCAACCTTCATGACTAGCAACTTTGCTGGTGATTATTTATTAAAGAAAACCACAAGTTGTATAACATAAAAATCCACACAAAGTTCACTTGGCGATTCTAATTCTGCTATTGAATTTGCTGGAAAGCTGCCTTAATTGCAGTCAGTCTTAGGCCACAAGTTTCTTGGAAAGGGCTACATACAAAGGGGCTAACCAGAAAAGCTAAATGAAGTGTTGTAGTGTGAAGCCACCAGGACAGTTCTTAGTGGGTTGAGATCCCACATCAACTAGAGATATGGCTAATGTAGTTCTTATAAGGCTTACTTAGTTCTCACCTTAAAAGCCAATTTTGTCAGGTTATTAGGTACTAAGCCCAAATTCTAAGAGAATTCCTTATGGTTGTTGACTTGTTTTTAGCTCCTCAACATGAAATGGTCACTCCGACATGATGTGATATACTTATGTGCCAATGGTCAACATATGAACTGCAGCAATATCATTTTATTTTTAATGCTGATATGATGATTTCAAGGACATTAACTCCAGTACTGGAAATTAGTTTTTCTGTGAAGTTAATTTATTGTTAAAATAGAAAGCATGTTTCCTTCATTAATGATTTGTGTTTGATGTAGGTGGGCTGAATGGAATGGGAAATATCGTGATGATGTAAGGAAATTTATTAAGGTAACTCTCTTTTGGCTTGTTAAGTAGTATAATTTGCATAAGGTAGCTGGCATGCTTGTAAAAGGAAAATAGAAATCAACTGTCTCATACGAATATTATGTTGTATAGGGAGTAAGAAATTCAGATGGAAAATTTATCTGGCTTTGCAAGATGCTATGATTTGATCTGTGATTTATTTAATTTATTTCTTCTTTGTCGTTTCCTTTGAAAAACATGTTCTAGGGTGATTATGGCGTGAAGGGGAGCTTTGCTACTCGTGTTGCTGGGTCTTCTGATCTTTACAGAGTATGCTACTTATAGATATTTATGTTTGTTAACCTTATGGATTTGATATCAAAGATATCAACTCTTTGATGTGAACCAGTAATTAGGATTGTCATATCTATTTTTTAAATCTTGATTTATTTCAATTTGTCTTGTTTCTTTATCTTTTCCTATCTTGATAAGATCTGGATATCAGAATCCTGATTTTATTAATTAGGACAATTGTTAGATATGATTCTTCTAATTAGGGATCTCTTTATTTTTATTTTATCAATTAGGATAATTGTTTGTTATGATCCTATTAATTAGGATATCTTTTTAGGCTTTTGTACGGGCAGACTTGATTGGAATACTATCAAGGAAAAATAATTTTTAGAAAAAACTTGTGTTAGTCTGGGAGGGGCTGTCAAGGAAGAGACTGCTTCTTGCTTTCACCATAGGTTGCAGGAATAATTATTCCATGTCTAGGCCTATGACCTGATCTTGCACGAAGGTTCATAACACTCTCCTAAAGTTTAAGTTGTTAAGTAGAGGCCTGGGAATGGCTTTATGCTCGAACAACTATGAAATTGAACTTTTGGAGCAAGCATATTAGATTAAACTTCTGTAAATTATTCTCAAGTCACAGCATTTTATCCTTCACATCTATCATACATATGTGACACAAGGTCGACTTTTCTCACATTTTCCTGATTTCCTCATAACTATAAGGGTCAATCAGAATATAAGGTCTTTCTGGCACCCATGAAGCAAAATGCACCATTCATGCCTTTTTCCAACTGTAGGCTCAAAGTAGTACCTTCACTTAATTGCATCTCTGTGAGATTAAAGATGGGTTATTAATTTATTATTATTATTATGCAGTCAAAATACAATGTGTCCAGCACTCCAGCTGCTAAAGATATGTCATCGAACTTGAGTTTTTATTTTTTTGGCCTTCCTCGGTGTTATCAAGAAAACTAGTTCATGGAAACAGTTCAATAGAACTATCTTATTTTATTCCTCCTTGGATAGTCTCCAATCTCCATTATGTTGAGGTTAACCTACTTTTCCAAAGCAACAATAGGCATGTTATATCTGTCCTACTCAGTTAATGTATAGAATATGGGTCTAAGATATATTGTAGCTGGTGTTTACCTTAGTTTCATGAATTGCTATACTCTGCTATATAAATAATTCTATAATGATGGCTTCCTGCCTTTGTTCTTTTATCTTACAGGTGAACAAGCGTAGGCCATATCATGGTATTAACTTTGTTATTGCACATGATGGATTCACTTTGCATGATCTTGTTTCATACAATTTCAAGGTACCTCGTCTTAATTCCCTTCTTCAATTTGTCATTGTTTATCAAAACCTAGTATCTTTCTTGATTCTTGGTTTTGTAGCACAATGAAGCCAATGGAGAAGGTGGAAATGATGGAAGCAATGATAATTTTAGTTGGAATTGTGGTTTTGAAGGTAGTTTCCAAATTGCAATGCTTTATTTGCTCTCTACTGTTTAGCCATGCCTGTTTAGCAACAACCTGTTCTCCTTTAAACTAATTCACTTATGTACACTAATTGAAAAATAATGTAAATAGTAAAAAATGACATGGATTGATGTAAAATCTGTGTCCATGAGGTTTTTTTGGCCTTCTCCTCCTGTTTTTTTTTTTTCTTTCTTTCTTATTTGGTGGAGATAGTTTTTAGAAGGAAACTAATGAGGTTTGACAGGTTGCAATGTTTGGGTTTGCTTTTTTGGGAACGCGGACCTTACAACATTATATCTATGTTTAACTTGCTCAATATTAAACACTGATAAAAAGAAAACTTACTCAATAGAAAATAGCTACAAATACAATTATGACCTTTACCAATGTTTCTTTGTTAGGCAGAGATTGAAATTTATTTTCTTTTTACTGAAAACTGTTTATTATCGGGTATAGTTTTACTTTACACTAATTATTTTGTTTTTCGACTCTTTTTACAGCAGTAGTTAAGTAGCCTTTGTCCTGAATGTTGTGATCTCTAACTAACTTTCTTAGTTAGAGCTTAGAGTCTCTAACTTGTCTCATAAATACTCATTGTAAAGCAGTTTTGGGGGTTGAATTCATTTTTACAAATATTCTTCTCAGAAGCTCTCCCTGAAATTTATTAGTCTGTATTTTGTTTGACAGGGGAAACTGATGATGCTAATATAAGAGCTTTGCGATCACGGCAAATGAAAAATTTTCATTTGGCTTTAATGATATCTCAGGTACATATTTGGAATACATTATGGCATGCTTCATTTGTATTTTAGCAGAAAATTGTGTTTTGGAATCCAGACTCTGTCTTTCCATCTTGCATCTATCGATTTTTGGCTAATTTAATTTGCCTTTGCAGCTATTTTTGGGTTAATATGCAAATTATCCTTGACTTTGGCTCTTTGACAAAGCGCTGCATATGTTTTCAACTTGGCAGTTAATGTGCTTAAAATTTCAAGTTTCAACATATTGCAAAGGCAAATAACTTTTTGAAAGTGAAACTGCACAAATGTTGAAACTTGGTTTGAAATAAAGTTTCTCATAATCACAGCAGTAATCGAGTAACACACTTGTTAAATCAAAGTTTTAATAAAATTATATACTCAATTGATCTGATTTACACACTTCCCTTCACTTCTTAATGCTTTGTAGTGGCTACTGGCTAATATGTTGAAAGTACTTAATTGACAAATTTAAATTTAAAACCACAGCTATGTGCAAGGACAAACTAGAAGGGGAAATATTTGCATTTTAACCTCTTTTTTTTGTATATATAATATACAATTTAGATATTTATACTGTGTTTTCAATTAATTTTCCTTTTTAAAGAAAACTAGATGACACGAATTTACAATTTTCAATTGTTTTGCATTATGCGACCATTGAAACCAGAATGGTGATTTAATGTTTTCTAATGAATGACCAGGGTACACCAATGATGCTAATGGGGGATGAATATGGCCATACTCGCAATGGAAATAACAATAGTTATGGGCATGATACCGCCATTAATAATTTTTTGTGGGATCAGGCAAGTTTGTGACATTCCTTTTGACCACTTCCCAGAGACTATTTCTTAAGGCATTATCTTTCTGCCCTATAGTTGGATGCACGGAAGAGGGATCACTTCAGGTTCTTCTCGGAGGTGATAAAGTACCGGAATACACATGAAGTATTCAGTCATGAAAATTTCCTAAGCAAGGTAATATATTTTGCTTCACATATTAATGGGCTTTTTTTATAAGCATGTTTAATACAGTAAACATTGTTATATTTCTATTAAAACAAACATTCACTGCCATTTATGCTGATGCAACAGTTTATTTTTTGCAGAATGACATAACATGGCATGAAGACAATTGGGACAATCTTGACAGTAAATTTCTTGCATTCACGTAAGAATATATACATATCTTTAATTGAGATTTGAGATAGAAACGTCATTGTTTAGTATTGCTTTCACACATCGGAGCACCACCTGAACATTACCTTGAAATATCATCTTGATCTTGAACCATACTTTATGCTTAATGCTTAAATATAACGAAAAAAAGTGTTTTTTTTTTTTTTCTTTGCTTCTTTGAAACATTTTAATTAGTGAATATCCATTGCTCACTATTGGAGTTAACTGAGACCGACTTGACAGCACTTGCTTTCCCCGTTGTGCTTGTGTTTATGCATGTGCATGCAGGCTTCGTGACAGGAGCGAGGGAGATATCTATTTGGCATTTAATGCTCATGATTACTTTGTCAAAGTTCAGCTGCCGACACCTCCAAAAAAGCGGAAGTGGTTCCGTGTTGTAAGTTTTTCCATTCTTGGTGCATATCCAAAAATACCTTCTTTTCACTTGTATACATAACTACAATGCATAGAGCACTATTTATGGCAACTTCACCCCTTCCCCCAATTCCTCACCTCCTCCAATATCTTGTACGGAGGGAAAAAAGAAAATTACCTTGCCCACCCTACAGAATTTGCAATCCGCCCAATTCGACTGACTGACTGAACAGAGCAAGAATGATGGCTATGTGGCATTACTATGTTTGTTAAAACCTCAACCTAATTAGCCAAACATGTGGCATTAGAGAGAGCTGATCAGTTTTGGGTTGGGTGACAAAGGAATAGAGGAGCAAATTTTACTAGAATATACCCACTAAGGGTTGAGGAGCATAACTTTTTTTTCTTCTAACCTAATTATTAAAAAAAAATCCAAACATTTCCCCGGCCAGCCCTAAAAAAAGCACGAAAACAAATATGTCCTGGGCCATCGTGTTGGACGTCTATGGTTGACTTGATTCTAAGAGTACTTGTGTCAATCGGCTTTTTCTCAGACCATGGTGTGATTGGATTCCATGGCTGCCACTTTATGTTCTTCTGACGAGCAATAAGATTTTATGAGGAAGTTTATTTGGCACTTCCATCCACTTGTAAGAGCCATTTTATCATTCAATGTTCCCTATAAATTTTTCTATTTAATTTGAATTTTGGACACATGCAGGTGGATACTAATCTCAAATCTCCAGATGACTTTGTCTTTGATGGTGTCCCTGGCACAGGAAACACATACAATATAGCTCCATACTCCTCCATTCTTCTTGAGGCGAAGTTTTAATTGCAGAAGTTGTTACATACACGTATCCATAAAGAAAAAGAGAGGCTGTTATACGCACGTATCTCGGATGCAATGTTTATTATTTGGTTTTCAATGCAGCTGGCTGAAGTTATAGCTTAGCACAAAAGATAACTGCATCTGCTAAAAAAATGTATGGTAGGTGGTAGTTCTGCTACGGGTCAAGGGGAACAAAAGTGGTAGAGGAAAATCTGAAATCATATCATTTCCAGAATGGAGCAGGGCATAGTCAGCTTACAAGCTACTTGAGGCTGTTCTTCCGAATTTGACTAATCATTACTACTTTATCTATACTTCTATTGTAAATTTGATTTGAGTGTAATAAATGCTGTTATCATCAATATTCTATATATAGTTTATATTGTAAACTTGGCTTGAATCGAATAAATGTCATTAATTTATATTGAATAGTCAAAATTTAATAATTCCCTTTCATGGTTTTAACATATGTTGAGTTCAATTTCTTCTTTTTATGAAGAAAATTAAGTCTCAAAGTTCTATCTAAAGAAATCTTTTAAGTTCATTTTTTTTTGCATAATTTCCAAGACATGAATAAAAAAATACTATTCTTTAGACATTGATTTTCTTCTCTCTCTCTCTCTCTCTCTTTATCATTAATCAGTTAAAATTTGATCGTTTATGGATAGAATGTAGTGTGAAAGGTAGTGATGATCTGATGGATTACAGGATTAGTCCTTCTGCCATATGCCATTCATGATTGAAGAAAAATGAATCAGGGTTTAAGACAATAAAATATAAATTTATTAGATTAATTTGTTATATTAATACAAAAAAAGGCCTGAAATTTTACCCAACATATTGATGTTAAATACATAAATCGTAATTAACAGTTCATTTAAAAAAATAGTTTTTTTTAGTATCAGTCAGTTGATTTTAAGCATCTTTAACTGAGTTATTTTTTTTTTCGTTAAAAGAAGAAGCATTTATCTAATTCAATATATTAGTTTGATAATATTTGTTTTCAATAAAAACTTACAAATTTTATATTTGAAAAATTAACCCTAGGAATTGATGTTAACATTTTCCCTAAAATGTCTTTGTTAACGTCAATTTTAAACATAAAAATGATAAGTGTTTATTGAGCAAACAAAAAAAATATACGTTATGATTTTATAATATATCTCTCGGAAAGTCTTTATACATAATATGTCATTTTAGTTTAATTTTAGAATTTTTTTTGTTTAGATTTATACCTGTAATTATTTTTAATTTTCCTTATTCTTTTACAAGTATATAACATTGTATTAGACACAATAATACTCTTTTTCAGTTTAATAATAAATAAAGATAAAAACTTTCTTTTTAAAAAAAAAAAAAAAAAAAAAACTATGAAAGATAAAGATTCTGAAACCCAAGTTTGAAGTCATCTGTCCCGTTTTAAATATTAGAAAAATGGAACCATAGACTTATAAAAACGTAGAAAGGGGCATTTCTGGAAACTCACCAAATTCGACCGTTGCACAAATTCAAAAAAACCACATCAAAATACCCTTTTATATATAACTGTTCCTCTCTCCATTTCTGGATCCCACCTTTCTCTCTCTCTCTCTCTCTCTCTCTCTCTCTCCAACGCTCCATGGCCAACAACACTGAAGAACAACAACAGCACAACCCAACGAGAACATCGATCATGGAGTGGAAACACATGCACCCACTTCACCAAATCGCGGAAACACCGACCCACAAGCTCCTCCTTAAGCAATGGCTGAAAGAAGAGGAACTCATCAATAGCCGCATAGCCCTGAAGGAGACCCAAATAGACTCAACGCGCAAAGAGATCACCATGCTCTACATCTTCTTCTTCCTCTTCCACTCCACCACCCTCATGCTCCTCTTCAACTCTTCGTCATCATCACCATCTTCCTGTCACAGATCATGGGTCCCTTCGCTGTGCTCTCTGCTGTTCTCGCTGGGCATGATATGGGCCCTGCGTTACAAGAGCGACGTGGAGGTTCACATGGAGAAGATGCTGCTGAGGGAGAAGGAGGATAAAGGGTTGCTGGGGAAGTGCGTGGAGGAGCTCAAGAAGAAAGGGTTGGAGTTTGATTTGTTGAAGGAGGTTGATGCTTTGAGGAGAGCCAAGAGTTTGAGGGTTGAGGCCAAAGAGGTTAGGAAATGGTCTTCAAGGGACTTTGTTTCCTTGTTCTTCTTCTCTTTGGCTTGCTTCTCTCTTGCTCTCACCAGGGTCATCTTGTGCAGTTAGCAAAATCTATTATTAACTTGTTATTTCTTTGCTTTTCTTGGCTTCTGATTTTTGGTATGTGTTGGTTGTTATTACTATTGTTGCAAGGGGGCCTGGTGCAGAATGTACTGTTCTGCTTTTGTTTGTGTAATTTGACAATACCAATATGAACTTATGGAATAAAGTTATAATTCCGTTTCTATTTTGAGCGTGGTTGCTAGTGATGCCAATTATGTGTTGAGCCTCTTATTTATTGCAAATGAATTTTAGATATTGGTGTTAGTCAATTATTGATGCAGATTGCAGAATGAGCTGTTCTTTCTCCTTTTTGGTATTCAGAATAATAAGTTTAAATTATGGGATATAATTATAATTCCTTTTCAATTATTATTTTTCTTCTTTTCTGATTTGGAAACTGGATTTGAAAGATTTGAGTGAGAAACTATAAGATAGTGTAACTATAAGTATTTTCATTGGAATATTTTGGATGAACAAACACAACGCTGCTGTGAAAATTGAAATCGATGCCCCTTACCCCAGTCCTGAGGTCCATCTATGTGTTTAGATCCTGCACACTGAAAATTGAAAATATTCTTAAATGCCACGAAGACCGAGTTTACATAACGTATTTTAGACCAATATGGAAAAAAAGGAAGGTTCCTTCTAGTAGTAGATAGAACTGGGTCAGAACTCAGGAAGACAGATGAGAAAATAAATGAAGCGATGACACAGGAAACTTGGAATTACTTTCCATGAATTTGCACCAAAGGTGAAAACTTTGGTCACTTTTTCATCTAGACCTTTCACAACTAGTAGCAACTTGTAGGTGCCCTTTGCATATTGGGGATCCCATGATTTGGAGATGCATCTGAATTGAACAAGGGAACTCATCATGAAATCGTTTGGTAAGGAAGGCAATGATTGGATGCTGTGTAAAAAGGAACCCAATGATTGGGTTTTCCTTGAATGGTAAAATCTCCCTTCAAATTTTTAACATAAATACTTTGTATTTAAACTCAAGATTACCTCGTTAATTCACCTATTCATATCCATTTGTATGTAAGTCATTTATATGAGTGCTTATAGAGGTATTTACATATTGTTCACCTAAGGTCTGCAAATTGATAAGAATTAAATTTACGACTTCTTAGAATACGAATCCATTTCTTATCAACTGACCAACCTTTATTAACAATGATTTACAAATATTTAACATAATTGTTACATTTTAAAATAATAATATAACTTAATTTATTACTTTGAAAAATGGTACTTGTACAACACATTATAAACGGTCACTAAAAAATATAATAAATAGTGATAAATCAACGGAAATATATACTCTTCCTTTTTTTTTTTCATTGTCTTTAAGATTATGTACAAGAATTAAGATAATGATTGATATTTTAGTTTTTTAAAGTATTTATTACATATTTTTATGTTATACCTTTAGGTGGTTAGAGAAGAAATAGGTACATTAGAAAATGAATACACACATTATTTAGTAAATATGCATTAATTATTAAGGATAAAAATAAAAAAGAAAATTAATAAGTCATTGATTTTAAAAAAGTGATAATGAAAAAAAATAATAAAATCTGACAAAAACGACTATGAAAAAAAGGAAAGAAGTATATATCTTTATTTTGTTACAATCAATATAGATGAAATGTCTAGTAATTTCCGCTAGGAGCTAAATAAACGTGGATACTTCTCCAACTATTTTTTTAATATTAAAATGATTTATTAATATTTAAAATAATTTATAAATATTTAACATAATCATTATATTTTAAAGTAATACAATTTTATTTATTACTTTGAAAAATGGTACTTATCCAAGACATTGTAAACTGTCACTAGTAAATATAATAAATAAAGATAAACATCAAAATTAACATAAATGTATATTATTTCTTTATTATAGTTGACATAGACCATATGTATAGTAATCTCTACTAAGAATTAAATAAATATAAATACCTTTACAACTATTTTTTTAATATTGAAATGATTTACTAATATTTAAAATAATTTGCAAATATTTAACATAATCGATATATTTTAAAATAATAATACAACTTATTTTATTACTTTAGAAAATAATACTTGCATTGTAGTATAACACGTTATAGACTAACATAAATAAATATAATAAATAGGGATAGACATCAAAATTAACGTTATATGTATATACATCCAACTATTATTTAGTATTAAAATGATTTACTAATATTTAAAATGATATACAAATATTTAACATAATTATTATATTTTAAAATAAAAATAGAACTTAATTTAGTACTTCGGAAAATGCAGAATGTGATGTTCTATCTCTATCTTGGTAATGAGAATAATAAGTAGAAATTGTGAAATAAAAATATATTTCCTTTCAATTTTTTTTATATAATTTTGATTTAGAGACCGGATTGGCAAGATTTAAGGTAGAGTAACTATAAATATCTCTTCGGTGTTAGTTTACTATTTCTCTTTTTTAATTAATATATATTTATAAATTTTAAATAACAATAAAATTATCTCATTTATATTTTTTTTTCTAAAATCATCTTTATACTATTTCTTATTATTAATTAATACATACTTATATATTAGTATTTTCTAATTGTACATGTCTTATACTATTTATCTTTTTTAATTAACACTTACTTTTCTTATAATTAATTAAAGTGGATATTTAAAAAAAATTATAATTAATATATTTTATCAAGTTAAGATAACACACTTTAGTTAGGGGTATTTTAATTAAAAAAATAATTAATATATAAAATAATATGAATTGATATAAAAAAAATAGACAATTGTTCTAATTTAGATTTTATAAATAATAACGAAGATAGTATTTTTTATTTATTTATAGATCATGCAACAAAGCTTTCTTCAAGTCAAATAGGATTATAATGGATAGTAAAACTCTCCTATAACTATTTTACATAATTACGTATTCATACTCAAACTTGAGATTACATATTCATCATTTTCCGTTAAGATAATTATATGAATGTATATAGTAAATAGTTATTGCATCCCTTTCCGAAGATAGTTTTTTCTTGTACGTGTGTATTCTGTCGAGATAATTAAATAAACGTACAGTAAAGAGTTATTGTATCACTTTTGGTTTGTTTTATTTTGTGTATTTCGTTGAGATAGGACTTTTTAGAACACAAGTAGTAAAGTTTTTTCTTTGAATATAAGACTATTATGGATAGTAAATTCTCTCTTCAAATACTTAACACAAATACTCGATACTTGAACTCAAAATTACCTTGTTAATCTAAATGTTCATGAGTCATCACTGAGATAATTAAATAAATGTAAGTATTTCTTCAACTATTTTCTTAAGTGTTAAAATAACTTATTAATATTTAATGTAACCGTAATAATTAACAAATATTTAACATAATCATATATTTAAAAAAAACAAAACAATACAACTTAATCTATTACTAGTTTTAGAAGTGGATTACTAGTTCTGTCCCAGTTGTTCTTTTAGTTACATTAGTTAGTATGATAATTCAGGTTTGTGTTTCTCATAATTTTTACTTTGATTTTGAACTCTATTGTAACAGGTTGAAATACCCTTTCTACTCTCAATAATTTAAATATTGTTTGCTTATAAAAAAAAAAATAATCTATTACTTTAAAAATGGTAGTTGTATGACACATTATAGATTTTCACCGATAAATATAAAAAATAGGAATAGACATCAAAATTAACATAAACGCATATCATTATTTTGTTATCATTAGTATAGACCAAATGACTAGTGATCTCCCGTAAGAGTTAAATAAACGTAAATATCTCTCGAAATATTTTTTTAATATTAAAATGATTTACTAATATTTAAAATGATTTACAAATGTTTAACATAATCGTTATATTTTAAAATAATAATGCTACTTAATCTATTACTTCAGAAAATGATACTTGTACAACATGTTATAGATTGACACTAACAAATATAATAAACAATAATTGACATCAAAACTAACATAAATATATATCATTATTTTGTTATCGTTGATATAGACTGAATATCCAATCATTTTTGTTAAGAGTTAAATAATATTTAGAGATATGAAGTTTTGAAACATCTAATTTAAGATAATTTTAGTAAAATAAATTTGATATATACGTATAAAATTAAATTAAGACCTTTGTCTTGTCAACACAAAAGAGACAACATTAAAAAAAATTATCAAAAGGAACTAAAAAAATTATTATAAGGACTAAAAAAAATCAATCTTAAACTATAAAGGTTAAAAAGTAATTTTTTTATTCATGAAAATTAAACAGGTATCTAGAGAGTGTACAACATTTATGCACCATACTCAATCAATCAAGACTCTCTTAATCTAAAAGATAAAATAAGTAAAATTATAAATATTAAAAAAAATATTTTAACCTATTTTAAAATAAAAATACTACTTAATTTATTACATCGGAAAATGCAGAATGTGCTGTTTTTATCTTTCTCTTGGTAATGAGAAAAATAAGTTGAAGTTATGAAATAGAAACATATTTCCTTTCGATTTTATTTTTTATATGAATCTGATTTAGGGACTGGATTCGCAAGATTTAAGGTAGAGTAACTATAAGTATATCCTCAGTGTTAGTTGACTGGGAAAGACATCATTGGAATATTTTGGATGAACAATCACCATGCTGCTGTGAAATCGATGCCCCTTAGTTCAGTCCTGGGGTCCATCTAAGATCCTACACAGAAAAAAATAAATGAAGATGAAATGCTATTGAATATAATATATATTTTCCTTTATTTTAGTGTAAAATTTTGATTTAGTCATTTATCTTTTATAATATTTATTTTGATCATTTATTTTTTAATTAAGTTAATATTATTTTTCTAAAATAATTATCAATTTTTATTATGACACTTAATTTTGAAATATTTTTTTTTATAAAAATGTGAAATTTGTCCCTCTAAAGAAACATAAACACCGTGCAAAGTGAGTTTAGAAAAAATAAACTGAGAAATTTACTATTAATTTTTTTTTCTAATCGTATATCACTGTATTGAGACTTACTTTTCAAGCATTTTTTTAAAATATATTTATCATTGTCTTTTTTTTTTTAAAAACTTTTTTTTTTTGGTTTTGACACCGATCAAAATGAGAGATATTAGGTACATATTCTAATATAATCATATTGAAAATTATAAAACTTAAGGTTTCACACTCAATTAATGAAACTTAAATAATTTTATATTTTTTAATAAATTTTAACCAATAAAAAAAATATATCATGATGAGTGTATTAAACTTAAAGAGTGTATCACTAACACTAAATATTATTTGGATTCTATAATTTTTATATAAGTAATATAATGAAAGAAGTTTCACATTTTAAATTAATAAAAAAAAAATTTAAAAATCATGTTCTAAACTTGAAAGGATCATTATTTTAAAAGGATATTATTAACTTTAATTTTATTGAGAAAGTGGATTGAAATTTAATTCAATATTACAAAATATAAGATAAAGATTGCTCTTCATTTATCTAAACTATTATAGTCATACTATTAGTCAATGCAAAATTTCCGATACCTCTTCATGTCAAGGGCTTGACATTTTCAAGCAAGCAATTTGTAAAACTGGATTTTGCAAGCAGTTTGATAACGATAGTGGGTGATATGATAAGCCTAATAATGGTCAATAATTGTTAGAATATATGTTATAATATTATTTTAAAAAGTAAAATATAAGTATTCCTTAATTTTATAAAATTTATTTATAAAATGATTGTTCTTTACTTATATAAACTATTATAATTATAATACTATTCAATGTGAATTCTTCAACAAATTTAAATAATTAGAAGACTAAAATGAATCTTTTAAAGAATAAAATACCAAAACAATTTTTCACAATTCAATAAAAGATAAAAAATATATTTTAACAAAAACTTATTAATCTATATAGTACAAGGATACAACTCTGGTAATAGAGCTACAGATGAATTAAAGGTATTTTTTTTTATCAATAATTAAAGGTATATTTAAGAAACCCAGACCTCTTCGCACTTTCTCGTTAGTAAAATTAAGTCAAGCAGGAAGTGTGCCTGATTGCATGAAGAAATATCATTTAACATTTCATACTCACCACACGAGTTTCATGAGTTCAAGATCAACCAAGTTAGCTACACAGAAACAAATCAATCAAGTTTCCTTTGAATATCTGCATCAAATTTAATGCATTCAGTCTAGTTGCATTTAAATCTTTTAACAAAGGGCATGACCATTCAACACCAAAGAAAAACATGTGGGATACCAATCCAAGGTGATCCAAATAAACATGCCATGTAGTTCCTGCCATACTATTTTTTAGAAGATTGTAGGTAAAATAAAGTTAATCCCTGTCTGTTCAGTGAGATATTTTTGACAAAATTAACAAGTTGGAGGATATTACATAGAAATATACAAAATTTATATTCACATACCCAGAAAAATGCTATTTATTTAAGCAATTTGGTAAATTATGCAGATTTGTATTGTTAAAGCTGTTACAGAACCTATAAAAATTCAACTAGGTCAGGTAGTCTGGTTGACAAAATAGCATACGGTTCAATCTTTCATGCTCTCGAACAAATTAAAGCTTTAGACTGTTGAGAGTTTTTTTTTTATTTATCGAAAATTAAAAAAAATTAATATAAAAATTATTAAAAATTCTTTCATGTTTTGATTTAATTTAGAAAGGCTATCGAGAGCTTTTTTTATTAAAAATATAGTACTTTTTTAATAAGAAATTTTTTTAAAATTCTTCTGAACTTGTATGTTAAAATTAGAATTTTGAGAACAAGTAATGGACTCATTGTCTTTGCTCTTGTACAAATCCCTGTAACTAAATTTTCAGTGTTACATAATTACATTATCAACTATTGCCAAGTATTCCCTCCATCCGAAAGCTCGTTGACAACAAACAAATAAGCTAGATTTTGAAAGCCTATCACCTGTTTCAATTTTTTCTTGTCTTTCATAAGTTCAGCTCCCTGCATGACCAGTATTATAAAACATTAATGCAGACAAAGGCTGCTGAGTTAAGCTAGGTGGAAAGAACTGCGAACACGCTGGAATGGATAGTCTGTGACTACATTTTATATACACAAACATCAATGTAGGAAAAAAAAAATAATATAGTTTTGTAAGATTAAAGCAAGTTAGCAGGACAAGTGTCAAGTCTTTTTCCAGCCTTTGACAGAGATGTAATGCACTGCAAGACTCAGCTGAATCAGCTCTATCATAATATATAATATAATAATAAAAACTAATAAAGGAAGGCAAAAACCATAGTTTTTGTTGCAGTTATTTTTAGTCCTTATTGACAGTTGTAATTTGATGGCTTTAGTTACTTGATTGGTGGGGTTTTGTTCGATTGTTTCTGTACGTTTGATTTACTGTTTACCGTCCCCAGTTTTATCAAAATCTTTTTTTTTTCCTTCCTTTTTATGGGATAACCCTGTACAACTTATGCATTGATTCCCACAGGATACAAATTTGGTGGGATGTGACAATAAATTCTCAGTTTTTGGAGTCTTAATAAAACTTATTAGTTGCAAAACTACTTTTCTCTCAATTCATGAATTAGAAATCAAATATTCATTCCTTAGTTACAATAGTTACCAAGTGGATTCGAATCCTGCCTTGTTACCAAGTGGATTCGAATCCTGCCTTGTGTATGCAGCCGCGTTAAATCTTGAGACTAGCTATCTTACCCTTTGAGGTGCCTTCAACGTAACTAAGAGATTAGTCACTGTTATCGACGGTGGATACTCCATGGACGAACAAAAAAAAATAGTTACCAAGTGGGTCTGGCACGTCTCTTGTATATGGAAGATGTGAGAAAATTATTTTGGATTTACCTTTAATGTTAAATTTGACAATTATTTATAGTTTAATTGGTTTCCTAATTATTCATTCCTGTTTTTTCCTTTTGCAGATTTTATATACATAATGTTCCTATTAGAGAAGTTAAGCAACCAAGATCTATGGGAGGATCTACCCTCAAAGCCAGTGACTTTGCATGCCACCGTACGGGAAACATTTGATTGGAGAAACAATGGAGGAAAATACAGACTAAATTACAAATATGCACCCTATGTTGTTGAGTTCTCCGACCTTGTTTCTCATGGTTGTGCAGTTTATCCCATAGAGCATGTGATGAAGTGTGACAGGGTTCAAAACTCTGAAGCATTTCCTTTAGGGGTCTCACCAGTGCAAATAAATGTAGAACTTCCGGTTGAAGAACATGACATACTCTTGCTGCTATAACACAGTCAGATATAAAATCTCTCCACCAAAGTGTGGCTAATAAAATTTGATCTGGTCACATTTGGTGATGGCCATTGCCACCATGGAAAGGATGCCATCACAGCTTAGAAGTTAGGCAGAGGGTGCTTCATTTTCATTTACATCATTGATCCGGTTTCATAAACCTTGTTGGTTAACAACATAGCTTTCCCCCTTCTCCTTTCTTTTTAGTGTACAGAGATAGAGACAGGTCGTGGCGTGGCATAATAGTTATGATGGATTTTTGCTGGTGGGGGTACCTGTAGGCTTCCAGGTATTTTCTCATAAATAACTTGTGCTTTACACAAAATTCAATAAACTATTTATCGGCATGAGTTATTTAATAATGTTAAGCATGAATTATGAATTATTTCTATTGCAAAACAGAATATTAGTGCTACACATACAATATCAAACCAACGCAAATTGTTCAATACGAAAAATGTTTTCATTTTGCCAATCCAATTGGAATTCGAAAGTGACAACTGACAATTGCTGCTGTAGGCTATATAGCGTACTGCAAGGTTAGTAACTTGGTATAGAATTTTAGATGAATTAATTTCTCAATTTAACAACTGAATTAACCTGCGAGTAAATAAAACTGATAAGACGTGACAAGTTCGCATCCCCTTCTTAGTAAATTGAAAAACAGTTCCAGGGTCATGAAGAATAAGCAACACGACAAACTGCAAATAATAATTTAAAAAAAAAAAAAACTATTGCTGAATTCTTCCTTTAATAGGAGAAACAGTCATGTATGTGAAACCCCAACTAATTGAAATGTTTGATCAAAAGTTAAGATAAATATGAGGACGGAGAAACACCCATTATCACTGATTTTTGTAATAGAGATAAAACAACCGGTAAAATCCTCCTCATACACAAATTCAAGCAGGAAAAAAAAAACCATGACAGGACTAACAGATCAAACAATAAAAGAAATGAATAAAAAGCTGAGGAACGCCAGAGTTAACAGGTAATAATGGATAGTTGGCTCTTAGGCAAATCATGAATGTAATGCATGGCCATCATTCCCTGAAACATGGGGATTGGCCGGTAAAAATATTTTCTCACTTTCAAGTATAGTCATACAACTGAGAATCATCCACGGGAGATTGTTCATCCAGACAGCATTATTCATGCTAAAAAATAGATACATTACAATGTAAGATTGTTCACCTCAAAAACACAAGTATACATAAAATTATTTGAGTCCACTATTGCAACACTAGGATTGCTTAACTGTTCCGGTATTTCTGCATGTAAAAGTACAACTCACTAATACATTTTCAGAATAAAAGAGAAAGAAGACTATAAATATCAGTTGAATTCTTATTAAACAGACTTCCACTTTAACCATCACTAACATATAATAAGAGATGGTAGCGTGAATTTAACATGGTAGTGAAACCAAACTTTCATGGTAACTATGCAGATCATGCAACCCACGTTCACCTGTAATCCTAGGATAATCCAACCTACCATCATTCGAATTATAGATAACTACTTTGGAGAAATTAGTTTTCAATATAACAACACCATTCTCTGAAATGTCCAACGGTTCCAGCGAGTGATACCATCTAAACATACTGTGCTGAAATTCAATCCAAGGATCTTGAATAAAGTGAGGGATCATCACCAATTTAGTCCAAGAATGTTGAACCCCATACTCCGTCATCAGCCACACGACCCAACGAGCTTCCTTAGAGTCATAAAAACAAACACAGAGACAGCCACGCAAAACATTCAGCACAGGGTTGCAAATCTTGTCACTGTCCCCTCCCTTAGGCAGCAACACTTCACCATAAGTCTCACTTCCCAAATCAAAGTTAAGAATCACCCATTGATCGTCACTTGCACCTCCCTTAGCAATCCAATTGAGAGTGCCACTCACAAATTTTCCCAGCCACCTAGTGGGGCGACACGGGAAATTCGGAATCACCCTCCAAGAATTTTCACCAAAGGTGTAAACTTTAGTGACTTTTTCATGAAGATCTTCCACAGCTACCAGCAACTTGTAGGTGTCACTCACGTGATCGTAGCCAAAACCATGGTGGGTAATACCGGCGTCAAGGGTAACCCCGGTTGGGAATCTTTGGGATCTGAATCTGATTGAAGGGTTCCACAATCTGATGCAACGTTGGTGAATATCGCATAAACAGAGCAAGCCGTTGCAGGAACCTAGAATGTGGTACTTGTCGCTCATTCTGAAGCGACGGGCTCTGGCGGGGGTTGAAGGGTTTTGGAAGAGCGATTGGACGGAGAAAGATATGATTTTGGGGTCGCCGATGATGGAAGAGACCAATCGTTGGTTTGGATGAGTGGTGGTGGTGGTGGTTGAGGTGCGAAGGTGGTCCTTGGCGAATTGGGGATTGGAGAATTGGGAATTCCATGATTTGCAGACACATCTGAATTGAACGAGGGATCTCACCGGAACCCTAAGGAGGATCTCAGAGATGAGTTCGTCTGGTAACACCGGCAATGGCCGGCGAGAAGGGTGAGGAAGATGTTTGGCCATTTTAGTGTTGGTTTCGAGCATGATGAAACTTGAGAAGGAAGAGGAACAATAACCATTTTTTCTTCAAATAAATACTTCTTCTGAATTGTGTGACTAGTCAGATAGGTATACAAATTGGGAATACCGCTTAAATTAAATATAATTTGCTTTTTCTTTCAAAAATATCTTTGTAAGATATAAGAGCAGTGTTTTAAAAACCAAACCGGTCATTGAACCGGTGAGAGTACTGGGTCAATGGTTCACTGGTTAGATCGGTGGGTCACCTATTAAACGGTATGACCCGGTTTATTTTTTTTAAAAAAATATTTGTTATACATATTTCATACTTATAAATTTCAAAAAAAAAATCACATCATACCTTAAAACAAACTCCACAAAAATTACAAAAACATTTTAACATAATTTTATAATGTCATTCATGAGTTTTAAGCAAACAAAACAAGTTCTAAATATGAGTTTCAAACAAGTAAAAAACACACATAAGTTCCAAGCTAACTTGTAAGTTCAAACATATAACAAGTCGCATAACAAAGCTACAAATAACATTTAAAAATAATTGAACTACAAGATTTAAACAAATCTATATAAACTATTTATGTCCAAGGAGTAAAAGTTGTGGCCACCACTCTTTCATCAAAAATCTCAAATCCTTCTCCAATAACTTCTTCAATATTGCTTTCATTTAAATTCATGTTTTCCATAGTATCATCTTGTGCTTGTACATCATCATCATCATCCTCATCCAAATTTAATTGATCTATGACAATAATTTAGAAATAAGTTAGTAATTACAAATTCAAATTTAGTGATAACAAATACAAAATAATGAAATAACAATATAAAAAAAATACCAATGTCACTTGAAATTGGTTGGATGGTCATATTTGCAAGGTCATTACGTAGTGCATCCACTTCCTCATTGGTTAAAAATGGTGGGGAATCCTCCATTACCCAATTAGAATGGTCATCAAGCGTTTCAAGATTAATAGGATCATAACTTTGATGTCTCTTTTTCCTAAGCACATGTAAATATGTAATGTATTTAAATCTAAGTACATGTATTTAGAAATAAAATGACACAAAAAAAGAAAGAAACATAATAATACCTATGTTGTAACCTCAAGTTGTAACGAACAAAAACTAGATCATTAAGCTTTTGATGCTCCAACCTATTTCTTTTCTTTGAATGAATATGCTCAAATACACTCCAATTGCGCTCACAACCCGAAGCACTACAAGTTTGACTTAAAACACGAATAGCTAACTTTTGTAGATTTGGTGCACCACACCCATAAGATTCCCACCATTGATCTAGAATATTGCATGAAATAAATCAGTATATGTATTAAACTTAAATAAACATTAAGGATCACAAAGTCACAAGTTATGAAGTTACCTGGCATAACTGTATTTCTTTCATACAAAGCAGATTGCCTTCCAAAATCCAACTCAGCATCTTTGTATATTCTCATCTCAGTAGTCAATTTGTTTCGTAGTTCAGGATCTCCATGAGAATACTTTTCAATCACATCTAAAAGTCCAGATGTTGTGGAAAAATGTTGTTCAAATTCTTCATCATTAAATCTACAAGCTGGATTCAACCAATAACCAGCAGCATGAAGATTTCTACGAAGCTGTGAATCCCAACGGTTATCTATGATCTTCAAGTAAGGTTCCACTTTCATCTTATTTCTTCTAAACCTTCTCAATATCTCTTCTCTAGCTTTATGTATAGCTTGGTAAAGAAAACCCATGGCAGGTTTATCTTCACTATCAACAATACGCAACACACGTACAAGTGGTTCTGTGAGTTTTACTATATCAGCACATTTAGTCCAAAACCCAGAGTCTAAGACTTGTTCCACAAATTTCTTTGCTTTTGCTTCTTTGGCATAAGCTGAGCTTGTCCATTCCTTAGATGTTACCATGGCTCTTAGTGGATTTTTTTGAGCCAAAATACTTTGCAAAGCAATAAAATTAGTTGCAAACCGAGTTGGAGCAGGACGAAGTATTTCTCTTCCACCTGTGTGCTTTCTCATCAAATACAATGCATAACAATGATTGTAGACATATTTAGTAATATTTGAGGCATGTGATATATATATATATATATATATATGGCAAATTTTTTTATGAGAAATGTTAGGTATTGCAAATCCCTTTTAAAGATTATGAGTTTATTCGTCGTGAAAATATATGTTCCCTTTCAAATTACAAGCTAGTCACATGCAACGATTCGTTCAGTACTTCGATCTCATATGATATATAAATGCAATGAAATCTTGTGTTGGATGGTTTGCGCGTATATACCTATACTTACATGTATATAAGTATATATATATATTGATGGATTACCCAGATGTTGATGACTTAACTTCAACTCAAATCTCTCAAATAAAATTTTATCTTGATTTTGTGATTGAAAATACATGAATAGAACTTATACAAGAAAAAGTACTCTCACTAAATTGAGAGGTTAAATTCTTTTACAAAAATTAGTTGTCAATAAAATCAATTCGTACCGATAATATAGTAATTCGGAAAATAAGTAACAACATAATAATAAAACACAAATTTTTTTTTGAAAAAATAGTATTAAAAAGTTATGTTTATTCTTGAACAAAGAATAAACTAATATATCATACCATTCTTTGAAATCTGATATAGAGATGAAATGAAACTATCTAATTAATTTGAGAGTACAAACAGTCGAAATTTTGAAAGAATAAAAAAAATTAAAATTAATAATTTTTTAACAGATAAATTAATCATTTTTAAAAAATGAAAATTGAGATTTTGAGAGAGGAAGAAAACAACGTTGTTACACCGTCAAACAATTAAAACTTTTTAAAATAACTATCACCAAAGTAAAAAAAATCATTATATAATTGGCATGGATATGATAACTATGCAAAAAATAATTACAGCGTCTAACTCACGCATAAATGTTGGATATATCACATGTGTAAAATTTAAGCATTCGAATTAAATCCTGATCGATGAAGCATGCTGGCGGATACATACATTAATTTGTAACGTATTTCCATGGAGTTCTATTTATATAGGTTAAATATTTATGTTACAAGTTGTTAATGATGGATATAAGACACATAGACATATAGTTCCCACAATTTTATGACATGTATGATTTTTGTCTTGTTTGGAACACGCGGCTGCAGCCTAAATTAAATCAACCAAAATCAATATAATAATGAGCAAATTAAAGAGTAGCTAACAATAATATAATGTTAAAAACAACCAAATTATAAATTCAAATAAGAGCTAACATAATGTCAAAGTGTAATCAAATTAATCAACATTTAAGTTTTTGGATATTTTTGTTGGATGGTTTGAATTTAATACTATATTAATAATATAAAAGAAAGTTGTGCCTGCCAGTGTGAATGTGTTCACATTTTTTAGGAAATTGACATGCAAAAGTGGGAAAATGAATCAAGTGTAATCTTATCGCGTAAAAAATTTAACACCAAGATATAAACAGAGTAGGGTCCTCTGCAGAAAATCTTCTATTTATTTCTTTTAATTCTTTTTTTTTTATAATTATCTTAATATTTTAAAAAATGCTACCAACATCTTAAAGAATCAAAAAATCACACATTTTCTTGTGATATTATAATTTAATGAACCTTATAACTTGAAGCAACGACGCGGTGGTGCGACGAGGCGGCGGTGGTGGTGCAGCGGTGCGGTGGCGCGACTTTGCTTTCCAAGTGTTCCTGTTGAAGCCATTATTACAGATTAAAGAGCAGAGTGCAGAAACAATGAATTTTAAAATTGAAGCTTGTAATTGCCGAATGCCATTACCCAGGAAGAATTGAGACGCTCTTCCCAAGCTGCGCTCTTCCCAAGCTGTGCAACAAAGCGACGGAGCGACGAGCGACGGAGCGACGGTGCAAAAGGGTTGGGTTCGTGAAACTCTGAAAACAAATTTAGGGTTTCTAAAAGAGGAACCGCGCAGCGTGCAGCAAATGGCAGAGATATTTCAAAATTGAAGGTTTTATTTTTTATATTAGAAAAACGACGCCGTTTCATTATTTTTTTTACAAAAAAAGTGATGAACCGGTTTGGCTCAAGACCCGCGAGTCGCTGGTTCAACCGGGTTTTTAGCCGGGTCACACCAAGTCAAACCGAGTCAACTGCATATCTGGTCTGATCACTGGTTCGACTCGGTCCAACCACCGGTTTCCGGTTCGACCGGTTCGACCGGCCGGTCCGAACCGAGTTTTAAAACACTGGTTCGTAGTTAAAAAATGTCAGTAATTTATAATAGGTTTAAGCTAGGGATGGCAGCAGGATGGGTGGGTACGGGTTTCATGATACTCGTTCCTGTCTTTGCGAGCCAAATTCATCTCCGTTCTCGTATCCGTACTCGTCGGGTATATGATTTTCATCTTCATCCTTGTCTCCGTCGGGTATCGTGTATACCCGTACCCGTACTCGTCAAATTTTTATTTTTTATTTTTTTTTTAAATATAATATTTTTTAATTTATTTTTTTAATTATATTATAATTATAATTAGGTTATTTCTTTATCTCATATTATAATAAATAATCACACATAAAAAATATTAAAATTCTTTAATAAAATTAAATTGAAAGTGGGTATTAAATTAAAAATGGGGATGGGGACAGGTACGGGTACGGGTACGGGGCGGGTAAGTACATACCCGTACCCGTACCTGGTCAAACCGGGTATTCCCCGTCAAAGTTGGGACGGGTTCGGGTATTACCCACGGGTACGGGTATATCTGCCATCCCTAGTGAAAGCCCTTATTTGTCTCATATTTTTTTTTTAAATTTAGTTTTACTTTAATTTTTGGTTTTAATTTGGTCCCCAATAATTTAAATTATTACAATTTGGAACTTCTGTCCAAATGATTTAAACGGAGTTAATTGTTGGTCACGTGAATGCCAGGTAGATGTCACGTAGATGCGCAAGTGGATGACAAATTTCTTGAATATACCTGGAACTAGAACGGTCCGTTCTGAAACCAGAACGGCTCATTCTGTTTGCACTCTTGGTGTGTTAATTTTGTACCTGAAACGGGTCATTCCATATGCAA